TGATAGTAAATTTAGTGATCGAAAGTTCAGTAATTTAAGTCATTCTAACTATTTTTCGTTTTGAATGGATTGTTGTCACTTTTTTCACATTTTAAATGAATTGTTTATTTTATTTTTGTGTATGGTTAATAACCGAATAACCAAACCAAACCAAACCGAAACCGATAATCACCAAACCGATAAATGTATATTATATTTGGTTTGGTTTGATTTTGATAATTTTAAAACCGATTAAGTTGGTTTGGTTTTGGTTTTGACCAATAACCGATCCAAACCAACCCATAAACACCCCTACTTATGATTGTACATCACAAAGTACACTTGTAATTACACTGTGGCAAACAAATATGTCAGTGTAATTATTAGGTTGTATAATTATGAAACAGATAATTACTACCCTAGTAATTACACCAATTCCATTTATCTGATGCCTGGTGGCTTTCCAAATAGACCATTTAAGAAGTCTTTCCTTCCATCACAACTTCATGTTGTTTTTTGGATAAATGCAACTAGAGTTTCAATTCAAGAATCAAAATACATCTAACGATGAAACTATCCGTCTGCACTCTTGGCACCATATATACTTCGAGAAGATTTGAAACATGAGATTATAGACTTTTATAATATTTTGCCTATTTTTGTTAAATTGTATATTTCACATGTCCATGATGATAAGTCCTGAAGATTGAGGATACTCAATTCTTTTTTTTTTTTTTTAACAAATCTTGGGTCCACAGCTGGACCCATTTTATTAATAATGTGCACAAAACAAAGGAACCCTGTTCAGTACAAAACAGGCCCAAATCGCCTGGTCCAAAATAAAGTTTCCTAATTATTTAGATATCACTAGACATAGTTAAAGAGTACTCAGTACTCTCTTGTATCTTTGCCGCCTTGTGTGATGTTTCTTTTGAGGTGGAATCGGCACTTTGCAATCTTCAAGCTCCATCCTTGGTTGTTGTTAGAATGACTCTGTGTATCTTCTTCCTTAGCCTCCGGTGAGTCCATTCTTTTCATTTCCTTCTCGCCATGTTTGTTGTCTCCAGGTGGTGGATTGAAATTGAAGCTGACGGTGGTGGTGGGACGCCAAACAACCCCTCTTTTTGATGAAGCTTTTTGGTAGCTAGGGGAGCTAGCTAGGTATGTAACTATTGATCCCTTTTATGGTTCTCTATATTGTGTGAATGTATCTTCTTCCTTCCCCTGCTTTTCTGATTCATTGCCTGCTTATTTTCCGTGTCCTAATCCTAAGGTTAAGAATCTGAGCCTTGTCCATGTTTATATGTTTCCTTATATTTGCTGGTAGCTCGTAAAAACTGTGATATTCCTTTGTGTCTTGTGTGTCTAGAACTTCATTAGCTAATGAATCTGCCACTGTGTTTCCTTCTCTAAAGATATGCTTTATGTTTCCTTGTATTAGTTGCATTTGGACCCTTATGCCTTCTATTATCTCTATAAGTTCCCATGGCACCTTCTATTCCCTCTCAATCATCCTTTTCAGCGTAATGGAATCTGTTTCAATTATTACTTCCTATAGATTAATGGACTGACAAAACCCCAAAGCTTCCTTAATAGCCATAGATTCTGCTTCTGTATTAGTGGCTATACCTATTCCTATGGCAGCAGCATATATCAAATCTCCAAACTCATTCCTTACACAGAAAGCAAGTGCACTCTTTCCAGGATTTCCCCTACACGCCCCATCAGTATTACATTTCAGCCTATCCGTTGCTGGAAATTTCCAAGTAACATAATAATAGTGTAATCTTGGTTTGTATTCCTTTAATAAGGTAACCATGTGAGGCCAATCCTCCTTTCCTATCTTCATCCAAGGGTATAAGCTTTTGAGTAGTTTCCTAAGCATGTCTTGTACTTGCCATATCATGTTATTCAAAGTCACATTTCCTCCATGCTTGATACTATTTCTCCTTTTCCATATAATCCACATTATGAGTGCTGGCATTGCTTTGTATACTGACTCCAGCTTTGGTGTTGTGTGAATATTCCACCAAGTATTTATGAGTTGTTTCAAATTCATGTCTTCTATGTCAATGCCTGCAAAAATAGCAAACTGCCTCCATAGCTTAGTAGCTATGGGTGCTGTAGAAATAGATGAGTCATGGTTTCTTCTGTCTTTTCGTCACAACACCAACATCTAGATACAATATTTATCTTCATTTTTTTCAAATTGTCATCTGTGGCAATCTTCCTTCTCCAAGCCTTCCATAAGAAAAAATTAACTTTGAATGGAACTCTCTTTGCCCAGATTTTGTTATTTTCTTCCTTCTTTTCTCTTCTCTGTCTCAACAGTTCCCAGGCTGATTTCACAGTGAAGTTGCCTTAGGTATTCCCCATCCACCAAGGTATATCATTACTTTGCCAATCAGCTGGTGGAACTATATTCTCCACAATATGTACTGTCATTTCTTCAGATAGCTTATCCCTCAGTTTCTGTCTATCCCATTCTCATCCCCTTGTAAAATCCCTGACTTCTAGTTCTTCTTCTCTTGCACCTTCACCTTCTATTTAATATAAAGCCCCTTGTCTAGTCCAGTTATCAAACCAAAAGCTGGAATTTTCTGATTTTATTTGCCACCATATGTTATGCTCTATTTCCTCTTTTACTGCTTGCATTTTTCTCCAAACGTGTGAAGCACCATATCCCTTAGCCGTGATAGGATGTAATTTTTTGCAATATTTGTTCCACATGTATTCACCCCACATGGATGATGTAGAAGTTCTGAAATTCCACCAAAGCTTAGCAAATAAAGCATTAGACACTACATTTAGAGATCTGAGACCAATTCCTCCCTCCTCCTTCGGATAACACATATTTTTCCATGATACCCAATGTTTGTTTCTAGATCCTGTAGCATTTTCCCAAAAGAATTTAGCAAAAATTCTATGAAGTTGCTCAATCACACCAGTTGGAGGGTTCATAGCTGAGAGTAGATACACTGGCATGGATTGCAGTACATGTGTGATCAATATATATCTGCCCCCAAATGATAACAACTTATTTTGCCATATATTAAGCCGTTTCATCACCTTCTTGATCAATTCTTCAAAATGGCTTTTATTCTTCCTACCATAAAATACAGGGCAACCTAGGTATATAAATGGAAAATTGCCTTGTTTGATGCTGGTTATCCTCTTAATTCAATTGCACACTCTCACTGATGTCTTTTCATGAAGATAAAATAAGCTCTTGTCTAGATTGATCATCTGTCCGGACTCCATTTCATAATCTCGCAGTACCTTCATCATTTTCTTCATTGATCCTCCATGTCCCGAACAAAATAGTATGGTATCATCAGCATATGAAAGATGGTTTATTCTTGGGCTCCACTTAGGCATGCCATAGCCTATGAAATCCTGTTCTTCATATAAATTATTTAGATTCCTTGTCAAAACTTCTGCAGCAATTATGAAGAGTGTGGGCGATAAAGGATCTCCTTGTTTTAGACCTCTGGATGATTGGAAAAAACCATATGACTGCCCATTCATCAAAACTGAATACCAGTTGCTACTTATTAATCGCACAATCATATCAATAATCCGTTATGAGAAACCAAAGCTTCTTAGCACCCTTACAAGGAACTTCCACGACACTCTATCGTATGTCTTTGCCATATCAAGCTTGACCACTACATTATGCAACTTATTTCTCATGCTAATATCTCTGATTATCTCTTGTGCAAGCAATACATTCTCATTGATGCTCCTTCCCTTCACAAAGCCTGACTGATTAAGAGAGATAATTTTGGGCAACACTTTCACCATTCTTTCATGCATCAGTCATGATATAATCTTGTTTGTGAATTTACTTAAGCTAATAGGCCTCAGGTCTCCAAATGTCTTTACCTCCTCCTTCTTTGGAATAAGCACCAGGTTGGTATGAGTAACATACGTTGGTAACTCTTGTCCACAAAAGAAAGCCTTCACCATGTTTGTAATATCATTACCAATTATTTCCTAACAAGATTGGAAGAATTGACTCGAGAAACCATCATGTCCACTTGCACTATCTCTATTTAATGAGAAGACCACCTGTTTCACTTCCTCTTTGGATGGCATTTGTACCATCCCCTCATTCTCCCCTTTCGTGATTAATTTAGGTATACACTGGATCAATTCCAATGTGCTCTCTTCAGAGGTCTCCCTGAACTGTTCCTTAAACACTTTGACTGCTTCTTCTCCTATATGCTGCGGATTATTTATTACATCTCCCCGTGCTGTCTGAATTTCCTTGACCTGAAGCTTTCTCCTTCTTCCTTTCACATAAGCATGAAAGAATTTTGTGTTGTTATCTCCATCTGTGAACCATTTCATACCTGATTTCTGCTTCCAGTATTCTTCTTCAATATGAAGGTAGCTCTTCAAGTCTGCCTCCACCTTGTTGAGTGAGCTCCTGTCAGCAATAGGCGAGATTTCGAATTATACTTCCTTTGCCTTCACCACATCTTCTAATATGGCAATTTTCTAGAAAATATTCCCAAAGGTCTTCTTGCTCCATTTTGACAATGCAGTTTTGGTCCTCTTCAACTTGGCATGGACTATATAGAATGGAGATCCTGTTATTTCTTCAAACCAACTTTCCTCGACTATCTTCATGAATTCATGATGTTTAGTCCAAAAGTTCAGGAATCGAAATGGTTTTACCACCTGTTCCTGAGAATCATTACCAAGCACATGTAATGGAGCATGGTCAGAACCCTGTCTAATTAAATGATGCACCTCACTATTAGGTAGTAATTGCATGAATTCATTGTTTCCCAAGACTTTATCCAGTCGCTTAAAGATACAATCATTTTCAATTTGTCCATTCCACCAAGTGTAGCAACTACCTACGAATTTCAACTCATTTAATGCGCAAGCACTAATACAAGCAGCAAAGTCAGTTGTTTCCTACAGCGTTACTGGCAAACCACCTAGCTTCTCTGACTCATCTACAATTGTATTGAAATCACCGCCTACCAACCAAGGACTACTAGATTGAGCAGCAATATGCTCTAAATCATCCCATAATTCTAGTCTGTCTAGGGCACTACATCGTGCATATACAGCCGTTACCCTAAAACACGCATCCCTACCTCTGAGTTGGAATTGCACTGTTAATTGTTGCATAGTGTCTGCTGAACCTTTCTCCACCCAATTATCTTCCCAGAAGACCCAATTTTTTTATGAACTATTCACCCTAGCATTAGGAAGACCTAACTTCCTCCTATAAGCTTCCAATTCACTCGGGCTTTGAAAAGGTTCTAATAAAGCAATGTATGAGTAATGATGTCTTTTATGCAGATCAACTAGTCGCTCAAAAGATTTTTGAGTCCTAACAGACCTGATATTCCAAAATATGGCCTTATTAATCATTAATCAGATGTAAAAAACGACCCCTTCTTATTCCTTGTATTTATTTGTGATTAAGGTAGAACCTGCCTTATACTTTTCTGCATTTTGCTTTTAAGATTATCAATTTGTCGTGGTGACAGATCTCCATTTTTACTCACATAATCTACATTAGCATCAATACTTTCATCCTCCTCTGAATTTTGCTTATCACTGAGTTCCTGCGCTGTAGATGTTTTTATTTTGGGTACCTCTTTATCTTCTTTTTCATTAATCAGTTCCACAATCAGTCCCACTTCATCTCTTGAAAGTGTAAGCACTGCTTCAGTGTCAACCTCCTCACTCTCATGCAGTTGGTCAAGTTCTTTTTCTGGAGTATCTTCTGATTGCTCAGATTCTTTTGCTAGATCACCATTGTTATTCATTGAACTCTGGGCGTTATGTTGTTTGCTTTTATTATTGGATCCTCTGGATTGTTCTCCTATACTTTCTACCTGTTCATGCTCCACTTGATGGTGTTCCTGTCCTTTCTCTTAATCACTCCCCTCTAACCCTTGATCTGCATTTTCCTTCGTTGTCTTATCTTCTAGTGCCTCAAATTTGTTACATGTTATTGTCACATGTTCTTGTATTTGTGGCTTAGGATTCCATCGTTGCTCCACCCTACTCTTGTATGGTTGTCGTCCCCCATTGTGATAATTTTTCCTTCTCTGCTCCTGGAAACTTACCTCTTCCACTTCTTTTGTTTTTTCGCAATCCTCCTTAGTTGTTCCTTCAACCCCTCTCATTTGTGATTTATTTGTTATGTCCCTATTTGCACCCTCATTCTTCGTATTGTCTGACGTCCTTTCTTCTTTGTTCTCCTCTTTTGGGTAAAGTTCTGGATGGATGATAAAACATTCATTTATCATTATGCCCTTGAAGCTTACAAGACTTGCAATACTTAGGCACATAGTCATAATTGATGTGTATCCACCTCTCCTTCACTTCTCCCGTTTTCATCCTCATACCAAGATTGATTCTTTTTGGAAATTCCCCGAGTAGATTAACTTCTACTTTTACCCTTGCACAACTCAGTCTAGTTTTATTCTGGGTAGCCAAGTCCACTTGCAATGGTTTGCCAACTGCCGATGCTAAAGAGAACACCGCTTCTTTTCCAAAAAAAATTGGTGGCAATGCTGGAAAGGATATCGAGGCTATTGCCGTTGATGTCTCCTCCTTTGGATCAAAACAAGGATCCCACTTAAGTGTCCGCATTGGATAGGACCAATGATTATGCGTAATATAAAATTGCGGCTTGGATAAGAGATTCACATAATCATCCAATCTTGTTGCCCTAATCAGAATATATCTATTGCTTAGCAGCCCAATGTTTACCTCCCCTTTTAGCTCGCATTGTTTCGGAATTAGTCGTCTTAGATCTTGAATATCAGGCCACCCGTACGAAAATTTTGCTACTACAGCATACTGCAGATCTTCATTGATAATCATCTGATTCACCTCTTCTTCTTCCCATACTATCTTTGGCTCCCCATGTAAATAAGCTATTTGTTTCAGTGGAATAGGTTTGTATTGGGGTTGAATAGGTTTTAATGTGTTTGCATAAGTCTTCTTCAAAGGATCCTCTGTTATCAATTGTGCAGTTGGCACAGCCTCCACCGGAGGAGACTGGCCAACGGCCAGCAAGGCCATGACTCCGATGGTTGTTATGAATTAGGTTTCTGACGGCAGGGTTTTTTCCGGCCAATGGTATGAACTTTGTAGGATACTCAATTCTCAAAAATAGCATTGTGGTAAATTTTCTCTTCTCAATTGTTAAACCGTATTGTTTTGAAGGTGGCAGGGACATTAGTCAACTCAAAAGATATCACTAGGAACTCCTCATGACCATAACAAGTCCTAAATGCAGTCTTAGGTTTGTCTGTTTCCCTAATCCTCAGTTGATGGTAACCGAATATCAAATCAATCTTAAAAAACACTACGACACCTTGAAGTTAGTCAAATAGATCATCATTATGAGACATATGGTAAGGGTATATATATTTTCTTATTAAATGTATTTTGGATTAAATTGTATACTTTGATTGTGTTGTAAGATTTACTTGTGTTAATTTGTAGACCATGAATTAAAGTGACATTTTCTTTCAATCACTTGTGGAAACTAATTGGCTAATTCAATTAAGAAGTTGCAATTCGAGAATCATAAGAGGTCTGCAATTCTTATATCATTTATACTTTGAGAAGGTTTGAGACACGTTATTACAAACCATTTTAATATTTTGTCGTATTTGATAAATTAGGTATTTCACAGTTCATGTTAATAAGTCTGAAGATAATCAAGATTATATATATATATATATATATATAAATCCTTTTTTCTACCTTAGTTTAATATTTTGTAGCATGATATTTTGTATATTTTATGAGTTAGAAATTTGATAGATTTTGAATTTTTCAAAAAATAGTTCAATTAATTTGTAAAATTAATATATATAATTATAGGTTTTTGAAAAGGGCCTAAAATATTTTTAAACTATTAGAATTGGTACAAAACTATTCTCTGTTAACCAATTGACCCTGAAATATCCTTGACATCCACCTTTATGGCCCTATATTACTCTTATCACAAACGATCTCATTAATTGGATTAGTTAACCTTCTCATTTAATATGCAACACATTTTAACTCGTTGGTTAAATAACTATTCAAAATTAATTTTAAACCAACCTGAATTAGGATCATCAAATCACCCACCCAACTAAAAAACCCATTATTCCATAGAGGCAAACTCATTAACCTAATGATCTTGAAGCTGGTTCTTCTTCTTCCTCTCTTCTATCTGAAGTTGTCCAACTTCACTTAAATAATTATCAAGTTAAATTTCCATAACTTCAAGATATGTGGCATTGGCTCAAGGGGGAAAAGGTTGTCATCCTCTGCCTGCACAAAGATTAAAAGCAGAGCAATATTTGAAGAGGAGATTATTCCCAAATCACTGATTCCCAAATTACTAATTCATCTTACTTAGATTGGATAAGGGTAATGCAGGGCATAAATGTGGATATCAAGGACATTTCGTGGTCAATAGATTAACAAATGATAGTTTTATATCATTTTCAATAGTTCAGGGGTATTTTAGGACCTTTTTCGTTGTTTTTAATTAGGATAATTTCATGTTCTATTCAAACCCATCAAATCGTTGTAAAATAAGAAAGACAAACACACTTAATTATTAAGATCTGAATGAGTAAGATTCAAACTTGAAAATTAATTAAACGAACTAAACGACTGAGATTTGAACAATATTATTATTTTCATAAACTTAAGTTTTGTTTTTTTGGTATTTATTTTGCTACTCAAATATATTGTTTAGTCATCTATATATATTTTTTAAGTTGTGTACTCAATGATATGGATTACACATAGTCACATATAAAAATTTATTCAGTTTATCTATATAATTTTATTAAATAACTAGTTACACATATGCAAAACACACACTAAACTAGTTTAATTAAAAAAAAGTTTAATTAATTGTTCAACTCCAAACTTCCAAATAAACTTGTTCTTCATCTCAAAATCTCTCTCCAAACAAAGTCCTTCACGTTGGTTTTTCATGTGCAAAGGCTCTGACTTTCGGTAATCCTCTCCATTACTATGCATCCAAGAGCATAAATATCAATGAGATGTTTCGGCAACTTAATAGGATAGGAGTCCGGAATGGCATATTCTTAAACGAGAATATCAGACTCTTATTATTGAATTTTCTAAAGTGAAACTTTTAAAAAAAGAGATCTTATGTTTATTATATATATATATAAAAATTGTTTTCATAAATTTTTAAAATACATGATAATTAATTATTATTTTTTCAATTGTCAGTATAACAATACTTCTAATAAATTGTAAGGCATAAATAGGCATATATAAATTATTATGGGTTACATAACACTACAAATGTTTATATCCTAGATAAGTTCTTATTGATTATAGTTTTAAGAAAAAAATTCAATTGTTATACAAACTATCAAAATATTATAAAAGTAGTAGGAGTATTAAAAAATAAAATTGAGACTTCATTTGATTGAGTATACCAATTAGAGTATAATTTTTACTTGTATAATATTTTGTAGTACATTTAATTACAAAAAATAGGTCCAAACCATAGTGATTGTTATGCTTTAGAAGGCATTCAAAGTTAAGAGAATGTCTTTTTAAATTTAATTATTTGATAATCTAATTATCTTTGATTTTGAAATGTCTAAGAAACAAACACCTCAAAGAATTAAAGACACTCTTACAAAGCCTATTTTAAAATATGATTGATTCAAATTAAAGTGAATTGGACAAATTAAGAAGTAGAAAATACCTGCAAATTTAATTGCCTACAACTTTAATTACAATTACATCAACTATATATTTTTTTTAAAACATTAAAAATATGTGCATAATAATTGGTAAAAGATTTGCTATGAAGAAAATTTCAATTAATATTAAAAATTATATATATTATCATTGAATAATTTTGGGATTTTTTTTTTGGGTGCTAAAGCAACTACTTTGATGTATTTAGGGGTCGTTTGGTACAAACATTGATAATGCAGGGATTAGTAACGCAAGGATTAGTAATGTAGGAATTAGTAGTGCACAGATTATTTTTTATCAAGTGTTTGGTTTATTACTTTCCACTTAATCTTGTGTTTGATTTAAAACTCTACAAAAAATTTCTTTCCTATTATACCCTTGTGTTATTATGAGATTGTTAATTTCATGTAATTGGGTCAAGGTAGATAACCGCCGGACAATATGATTTTTTTGTAGGATTTTATATTCCATTTAACAAGTTAAGTCAAATGTGTATATATATACATAAAAGTGTTATTAATTTTAAGGTGTGATGTACCACTAAGGGCATCTCCAACCCAAACACCAAATTTTACACCAAATTTGGTGTCAACACTATTTTTGGGGTATTCAACTCCAATCCACAACACGAAATCATACACCAAAAAGGAATATTTTTCTCTTTCTTCATTATTATATTATTATTTCTTATTTCATTTATATTTTCTTATTTCACAAAACAAATTCTTTCTAAAACATTCACCATTTATAATTCATGGTGAATGTCAATTACTACTTTGTTGAATTTTTATTTTTTTCGATTATTTTTAAGTACATTGTATTATTTGTTTAAAAATTTATATGTTTGCATTTTTAATTTTTGTGAAGGTTAATTGTAGTTATATCAAATTATAATTTATAGTAGAATTAACATAAATTTAATTTTTTTAAAAGTTCATATATAGAAAAATTAATTTATAAAAAGTTAATTTATATCTAAAATTAATATTATAAAATATTACATAAAAAATAATTAAATATACAAGAGATTTAATTAAAACATACAATTTATATAATGTTTAATTAAAAGTTTGTATAATGAAATAATATTAAAATATTCAAAAAGTGCACACCAAATTTGGTGTAAAAATTGGTGTGGGTTGGAGCTCAAAACACCAAATTTAGAATTTGGTGTAAAATTTGGTATTGGGTTAGAGATGGTCTAAGGAGATCATTAATGGCACGGTGTATTTCTAAATTTTTGTTGGTCAAGTATATCTTAAACTTAACATAGATTTAAGAATACTTAAATTGTTCAATACCTAAAGCTTGTTTTTTTTAAAAAAAATATATAAAAAATAGTTCAAGTGGTTAATCGACAAACTATCTTGAATAAAAAAAATCAAGAAAAAATGGAGAATTTTTTTTTTAGTGAAATCATTAAATTACACAAAACGAATTTGGAGAATTAAAAAAGAACATTTATAACCATTTCAATATAAATAAAAGGAAATTAAATTACAAAAGAAATTTAGGAGAAGGAATAAGGGGATAGTTTAGTCATTTAGGGAAATTATCCAAGGTTTGTTAACCCTTGGATTAGTTATCCCACCATTTTCTAGGGATAAGACAAGACCACATATGGTGGATAAGCAATCCATCGATTAAATTAAATAAAGTAACCAAACAATGTATTAGATGGACTAAATTTTAATCCATAAATTATTTTATCTAATATCGCCTACCAAACGGGTCCTTAGGGTTGAGTTGCCCTGACCAGAGTCCCTCTTTGACGGCAATGCATATTCGAGTTGCTACGTGTTTCAATTGATCTCAACGATAGCCCAAAATCAGCCAATTTAAGTCGCATATTCTTAAGTAGAAGGAAAAGCAAGTGTATTAACCTATTTCAGAATTTTAACTCAACCCAAATGTAACATCTTACACCTAGAAACGACTATAAAGAGTTTAAAATATGAAAATATTGATTTTTTGAAAGAAGAAGCAAATCTGGAAATTTTTGTCTAAGTTAAGAAAGTGAGTTTTTGCAATTTTGAAAAGGCCATAACTCCTAGCTCATGATGAGTTAGGAGCAGCTCTTGATATGGTTGGAAATCCCTTGGAGAGATCTTTCCAACGCCACCAATATTGCACGATTTTGACATGGTATGAGTGAGATATGCCTTCCGGAAGTTGGGCTATTGGATCAAGGAAAGTTTCAATCCGGATTTAGGGAAGGGCAAAGTAGT